GATGACCGCTAAGGGGATCTTAACCCTTGACTTGGTGTTGTCAGCACCACGCTCACCCAGTGAGCGAACCGGCCATCCCTATATAGGATCCGACCCCGTGGCCTTGGTGTTACCAGCACCGCACTCTCCCGAGTGAGCCCCGGGCCGGCCCTGAGTGGGTTTTTTTTTTTTTTCTTTTTTTTTTTTTTTAAAGATGACCGCTAAGGGGATCTTAACCCTTGACTTGGTGTTGTCAGCACCACGCTCACCCAGTGAGCGAACCGGCCATCCCTATATAGGATCCGAACCCGTGGCCTTGGTGTTATCAGCACCGCACTCTACCGAGCGAGCCACGGGCCGGCCCTGAGTGGGTTTTTTAAAAAACAATTATGACTATAATTTTTGATGTGCCACTGCATGCCACGAACTATTTATTACCTCACCTACACCTCATAACAACCTTGTGAGATAAGTATTTATCCCTAGTTGTTATTATTATTATTATTATTTTGGTGGCTGGCTGGTACAGGGATCTGAACCCTTGACCTTACTGTTATCGACACTGCACTCTAATCAACCGAGCTAACTGGCCAGCCCTGTACCTATTTTACTGATCAAGAATAGACCCAAAGGACATTTGCCCCCAAAACACATACCTAATAAATAGTGGTACTTAGATTTAAGCCCTAGCTTGTCTGACTCCAGAAATTGTTTTCTCTCCCCACCATCACTGAAGGTAGCTTTGCTGACCTCTCAGTTAATTCTGAACCCTGTGCTACCTTGATGGCAGTCCTCAGCCCCCATCCCCTGTAATTAATTTTCTATTGCTGCATAACAATTTACTACAAACTAAGCAACTTAAAACAATACCTATTATTGGTGCTGGCAGATTAGCTTTGTTGGCTGGCTGGTTGGAGCATGCTGCTAATAATGCCAAGGTCTGGGGTTCAATCCCTGTATCAGCCAGATCTTCCAGTTTCTGTAGCTCAGACATCCAGGTATAGCATAACTGTAGTCTCTACTCAGGGTCTCAGAATGGTGAAATCATAATGTCAGCCAGGTCTATGGTCTGATCTGGAACACAGAGTCCTCTTCCAAGGTCATTCAAGTTGTCGGCAGAACACAGTTCCTTGCAGTGGTAGGATGAGTTACCTTTTCTTCTTGCTTGCTGTCAGCCAAGGAAACTCTCACCTCCTAGAGGCCACCCTCATGTTCTCACCACATGGCTCCCTCCATAAGCCCTCTCATAATACCACAGCTCATTTCTTTTTCTTTTTTTTAAAGATGACCGGTAAGGGGATCTTAACCCTTGACTTGGTGTTGTCAGCACCACGCTCAGCCAGTGAGCAAACTGGCCATCCCTATATGGGATCCGAACCCGGGGCCTTGGTGTTATCAGCACCACACTCTCCCGAGTGAGCCATAGGCCGGCCCGACAGCTCATTTCTTCAAGCCAGCAGGGCAATGACTCTCTGACACTTCACCTTCTTTTAAAGACCTCACCTGATTAGGTCAGGCCCACCCAGGATAATCTTTTTGATTAACTCAAAGTTAATTGATTAGTAGCCTAGCCTTGGGAATGATAGAGGAGGGGATCTTTATACAAAGGCATGTGCACCAGGGCGCATGAATCTTGGGGGCCATCTTTCAATTCAGCCTACCACATCACTAAGGTAGTGGGGCTCCTGCTTGTTCCCAAGTTGGCTCCCAGGTGTGTCCCCAGGTCCCAGCCCATTCCACTGCTTCTGGTGGGTATTCCTTCCCTGGTGGGCTCAGACAAGACATCTTGGCTCTCAACCAAGGCCATCAAGGTCTTTTGTCTCTTGCTACCATCTCTTGCCCTGAAATCCTTTTCTGTCCTTTTGGAGAAGCAACAGCTAGACTTCTGATACCTCAAGAATGTCATCCTCACCAGTCCATCAGCCTATCAGCTTCCTGCTGCAGCCCAGAGCCTTTATGCTGGAAGAGTTGTGATGGGACATTTCCTCTGCTGTGTGCAGAGGGAAGGGATGTTGTTATCAAGAACTTATGAGGACAAAGACACTGTTCCACTATATGGATTTCTAGTAAAGTGAGTTCACGTGCAAGTAAAGCTCTTATCTTCTCTGGTGGAATTAAGCAGGCTCTGTGAAAAAAATGAATAC